ATAGGTTCTGCCACAGGTATAACAACTTTTTGGAAGTAATCTCTGCCTAAGTAGGAGTTACAGAAGGATAGTGGTTTGCCCAAGTGTTTTATTTTTGACAAGCACATCCTTTGTCATATATATATATATATATATATATATATATATAGTAAAGGTAACAAATCCATTGGTATATAATTCAAGTGGATTAACTTAATTAGCTACTATATTTCCATAATATTAACACCCCTCTAACTCTTCAAATGTTGAATGTATAACTAATTCTAATTTCTATATTTCCCCCTCTCTATAACCTCTTTACCTATATTAATTATAATTTATATACTTTCCCTTACTCTAAGATCTCCCCAACTCTCTTTCCATTAATCCCTTACATCCTTTTTATCTATATATTTTAAAGTTATTTTTAAACACCTTTTTATTCCTCTTTAATTTTAAAATAATTAATATTTCATTCTTCATAAATTAATGTCATAAGGTTAATATTTGGGTTTAATTTGATAAAACTTCTTCCCTTTAAGACAAATAACTTCCACCCTCCCCTGGCCCCTGTCTTGTGTCTTTCATCTGACTGAAACAGTGAAATGAATAAATTCTGTATTAGTTTTTCAACTGGTGTTTTTCTTTTTTAGCTTTCACAGTAAAATTTTTATTTCTAACACAAACTCAGTCCACACTGGTGCTGATAAGACAGACAACCGATATCTTCATCTGCTGAAATAGTAAAAAGTAATTCTGGATTTTATCGTTTTATTTTATATATATATATATATATATATATATATATATATATATATATATATATATATATATATATATATATATATATATATATATATATATATATATATATATATATATATATATACTCTCACCAGTTTGTAAATGGAAGTGATAATTCCAAGGAGGATATAAATTCAGGAGAGCTCAATATAGACTACAGAGCATTATAATGATAATAAGAAGATGGAGTTTTTCACATATAGACATATTTGTTACTCTTATGTTAGTGCCCAAAATTTGTCTGCACAAAATCATCATTGAATGATTTATCATTTCTTTTTGACTGGATAATGATAAAAATATCTCTCTCTCTCTCTCTCTCTATATATATATATATGTGTGCGTGTGTGTATGTGTGTTGATATAATTGGAAAGAACTGTTAGACTGATGATCCTAAGTTCTTTAGTATTTTTGTTTTTATTTTAAAAAAACAGTGCTCGATACAGAAGTAGAGCCTAAATTATAATTATTTTTTTTAAAAATATGATTCCATCACAACACAAAAATTACTATGTTTTGAAACTGGTCATCCGTAAATTTCAATATTAACCCTTAAATGTTGGATGACTGTTTCATCCTCAAGCGATGTTTGGAATAACTAAGCAACGAAATATTTTACTCATTTATAGTTTTGAAATGGAAGTATAATCTAGGGTTAGTTTTTCATTATCAAGGGGTCTCTGCTTTGATGAAAGTAGGGATGTGTTTGTTATATGTCAAGTTTTTGGAGTCGTGTAAGGTTGGGTTGGGTTTTTTTTTTTTGTCTGACTACAACAGCTAATTTTATCAGGTTTAGTTGTTTTTTTTATTACTATCTGCTAAAAATCTAACTCATTTTATATGGTATTTTGTAATTTTTATATGGTATTTTGTAATTTTTATATGGTATTTTGTAATTTTTATATGGTATTTTGGAAATTATTATTATTATTTTTTTTATCCATTTATAAGATGCTAATTATTTAAGGTGAACAGTTGGTGGTGTGTGCAAAAAAACCGTTATTTCATTTCTTTGATTTAATAAATTGTCATTTTTTTAGAAACTTGAGAATGTGTAGTTTTTCATGTAGGCATAAAGGGCATGGGTCATCCCAGGTTTTACAAATTCTTGTTCTATCTATTATTTTCCATTCAATTGAGAATCTGATAAGAATTTGCCCTTTGTAGCTAACTGAAAATTCTTATAGCTTAAATATCCTAAAAGTCAGTTTTTACGAAGATCATATTTTAAAAGATTGCATATGGGGTGTAGTAGTTGTTAATTTCTCATACTTTGAAGGATTGTATTACAAATTAATACTTAAGATCAGCAAAAAATGCTACAAATTAAACTGGGTCATTCAGTATTTTTATAGTAATTAGGGTAATGACATTTTAAGGGTTTCCATCAATCCAATCCCCCTGAGTCTCACTAGATAAATTATTCTGAATGAAGCCTCAAGAGTCTAATGGATAAAACTACTATCAATATTTTATTTACTCAGAGCTCTTAAATAAAGTAGGTTAATTCTCTATAGGTTATGTAGCTAACTTCTTAATAAATGATACTTTTTCTTTCAACCACTAATTACAAGTTATATCCAGTCCTAAAATAAGTGTGCATGTATATAAACTTTTCAATTTTTTTTCTTTAGCAAACAGAGGATAAATGTTTCTTTTTCTTTCTGTTGATTCTACAAACTCTTATGCTATATAAATTTTTATTGCATTGTTTATGAAAAATTTTGTCCTTTTCTGTTAAACCTTACAAAAAAATACAATAAATTTAATTTTAAATATTCATTTTGTATGTAATCAGCTCTCTTAACCCTTTGAGCCCTGACCATTGGTTTACCAGTGGTATAGGAAAATGACATAATGCCCAGTCACCGGTTAAACAGTTGGTAAACACTTGGGTAAATATTGGTTTTGTTACCTGTGCGTAGTGATTTTCTGCAAGGAAAGTCTGTAAAAGAAGTAAATAGGCCAAATTTTCTTATTACACCAGTGTAGGTATCCCACATTGAATCAAGATTCATGATGGCAGTAATGGGGGATGAATGACCAACAAGAAGTCTGATTTTTTCTTGTCGATAACTCCAAAACGGTAAGGTTTCTTTATAATTTAATTGTTAATTCGAGTTCAGCATGTACATTTGCATGGAATTATGATGATTTTGGAAAAATTTTAAGGGATATTAGCGGTCACAAAACCAATATTTACCAACACTTGTAACTATTTTTATATCTATCGTGGAACATTACATAACATTACATACTAATTATTTGCGAACTCATGAGCTTAGGCAGAATGGTTAAAATTGTTCAGGAATGCAAGGCTCAAAGGGTTAAGCATCTCCTCAAATAAGCAGGGTAAGAAACTCTTATTTTTATAGTCACTTCTGCCAAGGCACTAAGCCAAATAAGAGTATTCCAAGAAGTAAGCATTTAACCCTATAAGCCATAACCACCACTTTACTGGTTGTAGAGAAAAATAACTTAATGCCCATCCACCGGTTGAACAGTGGGAGAGAAAAATGACAATGCCCATCCACTGGTTGAATGGTGGGTAAACACTTGTAACTATTTTTATATCTACCGTGAAACATTACATACCAATTATTTGTGAATTTTGACTCAGGAGCTCAGACAGAAGGGTTAAACTTGTTCAGGAATACAGGGCTCAAAGGTTTAAAAGCAATTTAATGGGTAATGAATACAAATGTATGACAGACGTTGTAGGATTATGTCTGCAGATTACACTTATTATTATTTTACAGATTTTCACATTATTGTATTTATTACTTTTTTACCAAACTTATTTACATATTAGTTAGTGTAAAGCAGATATGTATTTGCAAAAAATGGCTGAATACCTAGATTAATTTGTTAATGACATCTTTTCCTTTACTCAAACCTTTAGGAACAAAAGTTAAAATACAACATTCCATCTCATCTAAGAGATGACAAAAGAACAACTATTAGCATGTAAAGTAAATCAATGTATTGAACATGGGCACTTTCCTGTCTGATGCAGTGTAAACTGCTTTCTATGTGATTAGCCACATTTGATAATTTTTTATGCAAATCAACAAAATCAAATATTAAAAACTATTATAAAAACAACTTGAATAAGAACAGAGACCAAAATACAGTAGAATCTCTCATATCCCAAATCCCTCACATCCCAAATCCCTCATATCCAGAGTGCTTCATACCTAGAATTCTGTATATCTGGACATGATTTTGATGTGTATATTTGAACTATTTGGGTGATATGTAACTGATTTGAAATTTCTGTTTTTCAGGAAATTTACTTTGGATAATTGCTTATGCTTATTTCGCCCTAATGGCTTGTATTGGTGCAAAAGATGATGGGAATCAGAGGAAAGGATGACAACGACACACATTTGCAACAAGATAGCAATGAGATGCATAATTGTGATGAAACCTGAACTGAAATTGAAAAAGCTACTGAAAAAGTTGTCAGTTTTATGGAAAGAAAGCCAGCATTCGGCTATGATGATTGCAATAATGCACACAGAGTTAAAAAGTGTCTTTCATTTAAAAAATTTCAAGAACAAAAGCAAATTGAAATATGAAAAAAGTTGAGAATGACATTAGAAGAGAAAGAATCATTATGCAACAGTGATTAAAAAAAATCCTCGTTACATTATTTGTTTTGCATACGTGGCATACTTAATTTAATTAATTTTAATTAACATTACATTATTTATTTTTCCTTAAAATCAATTCTGCTATATTTCATTCACCATTAGCTTATTTTGTTTAATATAAAGCATAGAAAATAAATGTAAACTTGATTTCAGTTCTTTTATTTTAATTTAAATATAATCCCTCATATCTGGACTTTGTAACCAATTCCTCATATCTGAAAGGCCTTCTTAGTTTGGTTGTCAGGGATTCTAGTGTAATTTTATCTAGAAAAGTCCTTTTGAAGTTTATAATTATTTTATAGGCTACAAGTTGTTATAAAAACACATTCTGTCAATCATTGTATTTCCTGTCTTTTTTGGAAGGAATTGAGAGAAAATATGCCAAACATTAACTAATTCACATTTTTTGAATTATAAAGAACAAAAATGAAGAAAGTGTATTGCTCATCTACAAATATCACTCAAATATGTGAGGATTGATTATATTATGAAAAATGTCTTCTACTACCCAAATTTCCTTTGCGTGAAGAAATAAAACAAACAAATAATTCTTTTCTTACCCAGCACTTCTGTTTTCCATATGTGGAGGGCGTGGCATTAGCCTGTACCATTTTTTCACCTTACACCCTTCTGGCAAACTTCGGAAGTTAATATTCACCTGTTAAAATAAAAACCACAGCTTGAAAAGTAATCCTTTTTGTTCCAATGAGTTGATTGTAATTCTGGTGGAATTTGGATTAAAATCTGAAGAAGCAATTTTTATCTTTATCCCACCAATGCCCTAACCAAATTCTTACTTCTTGTCAACACCACTTCATCTCATCTTCATGAAATTCCTGAAAGTACACCTCAAATTATTAGCATCAGAAACTCTTTTGGTTCTGATATTTTTTTCTTTTTAGCCTGTTCTTGTTTAGAATAAAACTTATTATTATACTTATTTTCCTACCATCCACTGATAAGGTTTCCTAAATTGACACAGGAGGGAATACACGTAGGATGGAATTTCTACAGTACAAAAGAAGAGAAGCCATTAAACAGATGCTTGAGACAAGTACAGATATACTTAAGTGTCACAGGTTTAACAAGTACACTAATAGACTCATGATGAAGAGATGCTGATCAAGATTTCTTTTAATGTTTGCTCATGAGAAAACAGTAGTAATTTTACCAACATTACTTTATGCATGAACCATTTTATAAGGAAAGAAACTTAGCTTTTACAAATGGAATGAGTACAGTGAATTGTATCAAAAGCTATAATACCGAACAGAGGCTGGAAAATTAATTCAATTTGTGCTAATGGAAAACTTTATGTATTTGGGAAAGATATTAAAATAATTTCAAATGTTTAGTAGTAAGAAACAACATGCAGAATATTGTGCAATTAAACAAAAATAGAAAGGAGTATAAGACAAAGAATTGGGTCAGCTCAATAAAAGACTCTGAGTTGGTTGTATGTGGTGTTGTAGTTACATCCCCTTCCACAATGGGCTGTTGAAAGGAGACCTTCCACTTAGAGTAGGTGGCACTGACTATTTGCATATAAATGATACTGGGCAGGTATTAGCCAGTAGTCAGCATGGGCCTGGGACTGGGAGAGCTATATAACACCATGCAAAAACCAGACAAGACGAACACAGATGTGTCCTCTCATCAAATTTATTCAAACTATATAATCAGGTAATCCTAAAAAAAAATAGAAGTCCCACCAGGATTCATTATTGTTTTTTTGTTTTTTTTTAATGAAGTTCACTCTGTACAAGGCCACTCAAATTACGGGGTTACAGAGTAAGAGGCCTATTTTATGTGGATATTTGGGGAAGATAATGGTTAACCCTAGATATGAACAGGTTAAGATTGTAGTGATCAGAAAAGCATCCTCTTCTTGTTCCACAAAGCAGTTACAGAAATTTTAAGTTAATTTTAACCTGCCTTCAATTTTTTGAAATCAAGATAATTTGAAGACATATTAATTTACCTTTTTAAAAGTCCCCAGAGAAATCAAATCAATTAAAAATTTAATTTCAAGCTGTAAAAATAATGTCCTGAACTAGAAAGGAAAACTAGAATATGGTTCTTTTGTTTCAAAAGTTTTTAATTAGTTTTTTTTAAATATTCTGTACACTTTTGGGTTGTTAAAAAAATCATTGATAAATCTTTTTAAAGATTTATTTTCATTTATACACAATCTTAACAATATAAGATATGCAGATGACACTGTTAATGTCAGATACACACAGACGCAAGAAATAAACTCTAGGAACTCGAAGGAAAGCAAGAAGGACTAAACATCAATTGTAAGAAGACAATGTTTGGTTGTTAGCAAGAGAAATGATATGAGATATGAGCTACATATAGAAATGCTAGAATCAAGAAAGTACAAAAATTTAACTCTTTCAGAAGTTTTTTTAACAAATAGAAAATGTAACAGAAAAATAAGAAGTTGTTTTTGGGAATAATGAAGAATAGCTTTCAAAAGCTAATCAAAGTATTAGGAAACAGGAAAATTACTTTAGAAACAAAGAAAAGAATGTTTAACTGCTCTATGATATCAATCCTCGTATATGGCAGTGAATATTGGAAAATTTCCTCATGGATGAAGAGGAAACTCAAACCAAGAGAGATGTTCTACAGAAGGATGCTGAGAATATTATGTGCTGAGCATGAAAGTAACAAGGAAGTTTTAAGGATGATGGAAACAAAAAGGACATTTAAACTTAGAATATGAAAGACACAATTGAAAGTTTTGGTACACATAACGAGGAAAGATGGCTAGGAGAATCTGACACTCACAGTTCATATTAAAGGCAAGAAAGACAGAGGAAAACATCAAATGAACCTTTCGTAAATGCATAGCAGAAATGGGACTGAGAAATTAGTAAGGGGACAAACACTGTTTAGAGCTACAGAGGATAGGAATTTATAGAGACACATGATTACCTATGCCCTGAAGGCACATAAAAGAAAAAATTAGAAATAAATCATTGTTTTTTTCTGTCTTGCTGTTATAGTGGGACACACCTATTCTATTGTTAATAGACTCTCCCACCTATTATAAGTAGGAGTAGTAGCAGTTGCTCAGGGAGTGGGTCAGTCAGTCGTTAGTATCAGCGACCATCACTAGATTTCTCTGCGTCATTACCTATTATATCAAGTTCCTAACTTTTTGTACGTTGAACCTATTTTAGGACCGACTTAGTACAAATACAAGCCTCCACTGTGAAACCACTCTACAACACTTGCCTTTCAAGATCTTTTTTACTTTAATCATCAAACCTTTGTAATATGTACAGAAAATGTTATAAGTCATTACCTTCATAAAAAAAAACAAAAACAATAAAAAAATACCGAGTTCATTAAAGCTTACTGTTAATCAAATTCATATTGTCTCAAACTATTCTACTACAGCCACTATTAACTGCAACATAGCTTCTTGCTTTAGATTTATTCTGTGTAGTCTTGTCTATATCAATTTATTATTACTAATGGTATCAGTTTATTGATGTGGTTATTATTACTTTTATTATAATTATCAATCACATCACATGGCTCCAGTGTTGGTTTTTACAAAGTATCAGAATTTTAAAAAAATTCCCAAATCTAACTTTATATGGAGATTATTTTTAAGATGTACAATATCCTTAAGTGCATCATCATTTTTCATTTCTTTTGTAAACATAGAATCTGCTTAAGATGTTTGCTAAATCCAGTTTTGTTAGCAACCAAATAAAAATGGCATCAATCTCCAGACTTTGAAACTTCAATATCTTTTAAGAAGATTTATAATGTCTGAGACAGCAAGATCAAGAAGACATATTTTTGTCTTATCATACACTTTAATGACTAATTAATTAAGTGTAATAGTCTTGTGTTGATATCCACATCACTGATGATTTTTGTGGTGATGCAGTCAGTGACATTATTATGATTATTACTCTTATTAAAAAGTTATATTTTTATTTTTTCATTTTTATTTGCAACTTTGTCAGTTGGATATCTTAAAAAATAAAGTCTAGATTCTCAAGAACTGTTCCCTGGATAATTATTCTTTGATAAGAAAGGACTATATTGATTTTTGTTTCTAATAATTTGGTTACATAATAAGGAAAGGAATTTTTAATTCTTAATTTTGGAAGCAATAATCTTTGCTTTAATAGCAGCTAAAAAAAGAAACAGTATAAAAAAAAAAACAATAAAAGAGACTGAGTCGGAGAACAAAATATTTATAGAGAGATATGATATAAAAGTTAATGACATTAAAAGTTTTTATAAGCAAATGCTATGCATAACCTTGTAAAGAATTTACCAGGCTCTTGACTTTTCAAATTTTATAGTTATTAGTTTAATGATTCTAATAACTTAATTACTTTGACCTTATTATTAATTTAATGATACAATTGACTTAATCATAATTAAACTAAAGAAGAGATAAATTTGTTATGTTCTGACAGTGCTTCCATTTACAACTTTATTCTTTATACTGTAATAATATTGGATATAACAATTAAAATTTATTCAGTTTACTAGGCTTAGTGTTCTCCAGATGTAAAAAAATTTAATTTAGATTAGATGAAAAATAAAGGTCATAATTTTTTTGTTTTAAGTTATTGTTTGATTCATTCATTCATTTTCAATCCATTGTTTGATTGATTCATTCATTCTCTACGCATTGCAGATTATTTAAATTTGATTCATTCATTCATTTTTTCTACCCATTGCAGATTATTTAAATTTGATTGATTCATTCATTTTCTACCCATTGCAGATTATTTAAATTTGATTCATTCATTCATTTTCTACACATTGTTTGATTCATTCATTCATTTTCAATCCATTGTTTGATTCATTCATTCATTTTCTACCCATTGCTGATTATTTAAATTTGATTCATTCATTAATTTTCTACACATTGTTTGATTCATTCATTCATTTTCAATCCATTGTTTGATTGATCCATTCATTTTCTACCCATTGCAGATTATTTAAAGCCAAAAAATATTTTTTAGATTATAAGAATTTTTTTTTCAGATAATAATGGTTTAGTGATACAAGTCTTAATAATTAACCCATACCTGGGGGGAGAAGTGGTGGATTCATATCTTTCTCAAGGGTATTTGCACATAAGTGAATATAACATACCCAATAGGAATTGAAAGTTAGCTCTCCAGTTAATAATTCTGAGCCATTATCCATTACACCTGGTATTTTCCAAGCAGCCACTCATCTAGGTACTGAACATGATCAATATTGCTTAACTTCAGTGATCATATGGGAAACAGTGTTTCAACATGATGTGGCCATAAGTCTGTTTAAGTTGGATAAAACAAATTAAGAAATTATACTGTTTGCCTCTTCTAGATTTTTCATTAACTTTTATTAATTTTAAAACATTTTTGAATGAATGAACATTTAAGCTTTTGGTTGCTCAAATAAATTTTTAGCTTTTACAAAGTGGGCAACACTTTCATAGTATAAACATAATCTCAGCTGAAGTGACCATTTGATTAATAAGTGGACCTAAAAATACTAAGTTTGCCTGTAATATTAAATTTGGGTCTAGATAAGGGATTAGTTCCTTAATAAACATGCTATCTTCTAAAATGACCTGATGCAAAATAATCTTTCAACTTTTCTGTCATTGTATAATGTGTAACAGCTCTATCAGATAAATATCAAACTGATGTTATGGCATATACACAATATAAACATTATGTACATTTTAAGGCAATGAAAGCAATATTGTCAAGCTTTTACAAATATATAAAGAAATTGCAGAAAAATACAACATCAGGAATGTTTAATATTGCCCTGTACTTATATAATAATTGTTTATACCTGACAGTCTATACCCATAGTAGTATCGTATGCAAACTAGATAGACAAGTATAAATAGAGAACAACTGGTGAACATGGGGTGGGGGATATGTCTAGCAGACCCGATTACTAACCAGAACACGGAGAGCTGTACTATGACTACTACTATGCAGAGAGATATGCAAAACAAAACATTTATAAATACTTCTTTTCTAATATCACAAAAGGAAATAATCTATATATTTATCAAATAAAGTAAATTGTAGACAAATGAATCAAAAATATTTGCAAGTATTTGTAACCAGAGATAGTATACATCAGGATAAAATATATTGTAATAAATGGGAGGCACTGTGGAGTAATGGATAGCAACTCAGATTAAGGAAGCAGAGAGCCAGGTTCAAATTCCAGTCAAATCCATTACATTTACTTACGTGCTAATACCCTTGGTATGAATCCTCTTCTTTTCCCCCAAGCTATGGATAAATAGCAGGACAAACCGGGTTCTATAGCCTTGGGTGGCAACTGGTTTACTGCAGAAAGAAATGGCAACCTACTGCGGGAAAAAATCTGCCGCCTCAGCCATGTATTGAAAAATACATTATTGCTTAAGCATGTATCATGCATGGCACATAACTGACTGAATAAAAGCCTATCAGAAATATATATGTTGTATGGACACCAAATGCTTAGCATTTTAATATCAATAAAGAACTGTCTTGTCAATTTGACCGTAACTGATACTAATATCACTTTCATGTTCTACAATTATTTCACTTCTCTGGCAAGACCATGATACTTATTTTCGTGATGTCAATGAACATTCAGTTGACACTTTCATAATGCTCATTATAGTAGAGACTTTGTAATCACTGATACTGGTGTCAGATACCTTCATATATCACTTACACAGATAGTACTTGCTTGATAATACTCACTTGAATACTACTATGTATAGTGATCTGTATAGAGAAATAGTATAGTGAATATATTATAGAGGATAGAGTAGAAATGGTGATCCGTATAGTAATAGGGAATAGATTAGAAATGTCGACCAATCTAGACATCATGCGACTTCCTATATATATGTTTCCTCTATGGTCATGTGAGCCACTTAATTCAATAATGGGATTGCCTGTGTTTACTTGCTGGTGATCTATGTTTAAACTCGAATGTCGGCAGCAACATTTTATTCCTATATAACACTTATATATCTTCTTTTACTTTTCATTGATGGGTCCTACTATATCACTATGTCTTTTCATTCACAATCATGAGATCAGATCTTCCAGCCTGGATTGGGTAAGCTATCAAAATTACAAAGTCACAAGAGTTTCATTCTCAAGTACAAATTTTGTCCTGTACCTATGGTCATTTGTCATGGTCTTTATGGTTAAAATGCACAATTGCCAATAGATCACCCTTACTACCCAGTTACATCTGTTCTTGTATAACATCTGAGTTAATATGATGGATTCACTTACAACACAGCTGACAATCTCTTACTACTTACATACTTAATTACTACATAGATAATCTTTTCTTTATCTCTACAGTCTTTAATTATTATTTATCTATGTCTTAACTCTCATTGCCATTATATAATTGTTCTTATGATGTGGTTCTGGGCCACTGTAGTATTATCCATCTACCCCATTAATGCATCTGTCCTGAACACATATATATAAGAGGACTCTGCTGATATGCAAAGTTTACCAAACCTCTGGGTTTGCAAACACTGCTCGTCATCCTCTCTGCTTCTGGGCAGGGAGGAACTAAAATAAGGCTATGCCAAAGGGCAGAGTCTTGTCTGGGGAAGTAGACAGCTACCCAACCTCATTTCTATGGGGTCTACAGGGAATTTTCACCCAAGCCTACAGGCTTGGAATGCCCCACATAAAAAAAAATGGCTAGCCTTTTAGGGAAGTAGCGGATAAATACCGTTTGCCAAACCTCTGGATTTGCAAACACTGCTTGTCAACCTCTCTGCCTCCAGGTTCTATTTGAAAATTTTCCCTGAGCCTATGATCTCTGAATTGCCCCACATAAAAACCAACTTTGTGCCACATCCCAATCTGTGGGGAGCTCACTTAAATACAGAGTTTGCCAAACCTCTGGGTTTGATGATACTCAGTTTGCCAGGGAGGAACCCAGTCAAGGCTATGCTGAAGGGCAGAGCCTTGTCTGGGGAGGTAGCTACTCAACCCCATCTACAGGGAATTTTTGCTTGAGCCCCATATAAAAACCAGCCTTGTGCCACATCCTGCCTTGGGTGGAGGTTATGGGTAAATACTGTTTGCCAAACCTTTTTTTTTTTGCCTGAGCCTTATAGGCTCAGAATCACCCTCACTGCCCAGTCACATCTGTTCTTGTAAACCTTCTGGAACTAACTTGTTGCATTCACTATGTGGGTGACAGTTACTTCTTTATTTGGACAGAATCTAGTAATTTACTGGTAATTTGATGCCATATATTATTACTCATAAATTTCTTTGTTATATTGTTTAAAACTATAAAATAATAACATTATCTCAAAAACGATCAAAATTACAAAAACTTGATTATAATTCTCACAAGAAACAAATTCTATCAAACTAGAAGAGCAAAAAATTATAAATTGAATGTGTAAAAGGAAGTAACTGACAGTTCTGCCATAACTACAGCTTAACGAGCATTGTGTTCTCATACAGGAACCAGTAGAAGTCATTATTGCAATACTTTTATGAAAGAAATGAAATTAATGTCTTCTTTTTCATTCAAGCATGCTATAAAGAGAAGAAATAAATTTTTATGTGCAACACTGTATCAAAGAACCTGCCATAAACATGCAATATTATTGAGCAAAAGAAAAGAAAGGATCTGTAATGCTTACTTCTCCCAGAAAATCATTGCTGCTCACACGATCCCAATCCCAGAGTTTCACTTCAATCATAGTCTTTGGTGGACAAGACATTGGCATATTAAACTCAAGTGTTTCATACCAGCTTGGGAAGCGAGTCTTTTTCTGAGTCTGAAATGAAATATAAGGATGTTTATATATATATATATATATATATATATATATATATATATATATATATATTTAGAAAAATATGACAAACTGGGAAGGTTTTTTTGTGATGTGTCTCATCTGTTAGGATTTCATTGGACTCAACAGATGAAACACATCACAAAAAACCTTTTCAGTTTATCATATTTTCTAAATATTGTTTGTTGATATATAAATTTATATATCATTATATCATAAAATATATATAAATAATATAAATTATATATAAGTATATATATATATATATATATATATATATATATATATATATATTTATTTATTTATTTTAGGATATTACATCAAAAACATTTCAAAATCGCTACGCAATTGCAGTCGTGTTTCGATGCATATCAAATGCATCTCATCAGGTGATATATAATAATAATAGGTAATAAATAATATTGCTCTACTTTGTATTGAGCCATCTTTTAAAATTAAATATTATGAACATTGGAATTTTACTCTGTTCTCATCTTACCAGGATATATATATATGCATTTAGATTTTGCAGGAGAAAGATTTTGTTCTCTTTGGTATGCTTGACTAAAAGAAAGACAAACTATATATATATATATATATATATATATATATATATATATATATATATATATATAGGAAAATGTCTTGGGATCTCTGAGAATAAGTTGGTATTGTAAATCAGATTAATTACCCTAGCTTATCACTTCCTGACTTGAGACTTGAAGAGAGTCTGTTTCAGTGCTTGTTTGTTTTATTGATATTTGTATTAGGCCCATTTGGTATTGTAGGATTTCAATTCAGAGACTTTTTATTATTTTTTGTATACACATATATATATACCTACACACACACACAGTCACACATATATATATTACATATATATATATATATACACATGCATATATACACATACATATATATGGGGAAATTGTATGAAAAAGTGGAAAAAGTTTGCTTGTGATGCGTTTCATCCTTCAGGACTTCATTGTACTCAATTTGTTATGTTCGTAGGACATATGCACATGAATGAGGAGTGCTGGGGATTTTAGAATTTTTTTTTTCTAGCCGAATTCATTTACAGTCTTTTTGTTTTAATCTGGAAATGATGGAAAGAAATGTAAAGAAAAAGACTCTAAATGAATTTGCCTAGATAAAAAAAAATAATTCTAGAAAAAATTCTAAAATCCTCAGCATCCCTTGTTCGTGCACGTGTAGTCATACCAACAATAACAAATTTAATCCGATGAAGTCTTGAACTTTTTTCACTTTTCCACTATAATTTCAAAATATTGTTCCTGATATATATTTCTTTTGCACTGCCATTCTGATTGAGTTCCATGAGACTATACAAAACAGTTTACAGTCTCTTCAACAGGATTTTTGCTCACCTTTTTAACAATGAATTCAACAAAATTAAAAGCCTCAAGTTTCTAATGCCATTTTGACAACAGCATGTCCTCAGTGGTTTGTATGAAACTCATTACATATGCTTTCTTTTTAATTAGTTGCTCTTTATCCAGTGATATGATAATGACAATGTGTTCATAAAATGCACTTTAGTCGCTGAATTATTCACCTTGGGAAACATTACTTTTATCCAAGCTCTAACTACCAGGACTTGACTCTTGATAAAAGCGAGTACAATTTTGTACGAGCTATGATTACATTTCTTACATTTTTCTCACGACATCTTCTAGTCAGATTTATAAAGTCATTTGTACCACTGGTCATTGTCATGGTAACAACAACAGCAATATAAAGAATGGGATCAACAATCTGAACAACTTTTGGAATTAAAAGTTAAAACATAAAAATTGAAAACAAAACAAAAAAGAATTTAGTTGTACCTGATCAAATATAAAATTATATTTGTATTAAAAAAGAAAAAAAAAAAAGACAGAAATATTGTATTCATATCAATCAAAATTTATATGTTAGATTTTACAAGAATTTATTCCAAGAATTTAACCTGGTAGATATATTTGCTACAGTATAGAAATGAAAATCAATTTCATGACTTACTGAAGTCGTTTTTGTTTGGTCAAGAAAAGCAACTGTCACAAAAGGATCTGAACTTCCGAACATGTCTTTTGGTGCCAAATCTCTGGGAAACCGGAAAAAGTAAAAAATGAAAAAAAATTAATAAACATATATAATTATATACAAAATATATAACACTAATAACACTTTTTTTCATTGTTTTATTTTTTTATTTACATTATTCGGACTCTTATCCTCATCTTCATTACCATATTCACGATATTTCGGCCATTGTACACTCCGGCCTTCTTCAGGTGATTGGAATTTCAAACCAAATCCTTTATTTCATCCACTAGGATAGGTTGTTCTAGTTCCACGTGCCATGCCTCTTCCAGATGTCTCTGTTATTTCCCTTTAACTCAACTCAAGTTTTTTGGTTCATTACTCTTTGGGTCTAGTACATTGGATTTAACCAATAATCTTTATCCACTGGACCGTGTGTCCTTGACTAGACACAAAGAGTTGTGAGTTCAATATCATGCTACAGCAATAGTAAACCAAAACATTCTAGGGCTATAGTATTACTGGACAATTATTTGATTTAATCCAATCATTCCTATCAAATCATGAAATGAAGGTCGTTTTGAATGGGCTCACTTCCAGATCCTTTCACATGAATGCAGGTGTCCCTCAAGGCTCTATCCTGGGTCCTATGCTGTCTTTGATGTTTATCAGTGATCTTCCTGATGTCATAAGTTCCCAAGTAGGCATTTATGCTGATGAAACTATGATTTACTCCTGTCTCAGTAGCAAATCCTTCAGAGTTGACAAAGTTAACCTGGTCACTGCTCTTGAAAACACCTTTAGTCTGTGGTTAACTGGGGCAGGAAATGGCTTGTAAATTTTTATACATCTAAAACAAAACTGCTTTCATTTAACCACCATAGGAAAAACTTTCCTGCCCACCATCAGCATGGCTGATGCTAGAATCATGTAGAGCAACACACTGCACCTTCTTGGCCTCATGTTTCCAACTGACTTGAAGTGGAATGACTATATCTAATGAATAGCTGCATCTAGTGCTAGGAAAGTTGGGTCAGTGTGTTGTACCAGAAGATTTTTCAAGAGACAATCTTGCACATTTACAAATCTACCATTTGTCTGTGCATTGAATACTGTTGCCATATCCAGTATGGTGCTCCTGCTATTCATTTCAAAGTTCTTGACAAAATCCAAAGGAGGATCTGCAATGTAATCAATCCCGACTTGACATCTCGACTTCAGACACTTTCTCACTGATGTGACATGGTTTCCCTCTGTTTTTTCTGCAAATATTTTCATGGCTACTGCTCTGACAAGTTTTTTACCCTGGTGTCTGGTCTACATGAGTTTAAGCATGCTACTAGATTAGCATCTATGCCCCACCCTTTTACTGTTGAATTAGTTAAATGTAACTGCCACTTCTACTCCAACAGTTTCTTTTCTTGCACTTCCTGTCTGTGGAACTTTCTTCTGTTTCTTTGCTTCCCTGATAACTGCAATCTTCAAAAATTTAAATCCAACATCAGTTGCAATCTTCTATCTTCTTGAACTTTTTAATAATAAATGAATGCGAGCTTCCTTTAACTTTCTGAGCCCTGCATTCCTGAACAAATTTAACCCTTCTGCCTGAGCTCCTGAGTCAAAATTCGCAAACAATTGGTATTTAATGTTTCATGGTAGATATAAAAATAGTTACAAGTGTTTACCCACCATTCAACTGGTAGCTCAGCATTAAGTCATTTTTCTCTACCACCGGTAAAGTGGTGATCAGAGCTCAAAGGGTTAAATTGCCTCCAGGGTCAGAGTAGGGTTCACTTAATATTATATATCAATATGTTTTAGCATAACAAAAGTACCCAAACACATAAGTGACATTAGTTTTTATATACTAATAAAAAATTCAAACTCAAACAATTTAAAACTCAAACATTTTAAAATTTAAAATTCACCATTTCCACATCTTCAGCATTTCCCCTTTGTACATAATTATAAGCAACACTCGCTTTCATACCTCTCTATTTTCCTCCTCTCCTATATAATTCCATCAATAAATAAAAAAAATATTACTTTAGTCTGAAATTAGAGAAGTGACAGATACATTCTCTTTATTAATGATATAACAGTACATTTAACCCTTTGACCCCTGCGTTGCTGAACAATTTTAACTCTTCTGCCTGAACTCCTGAATCAAAATTTGCAAATAATTTGTATGTAATGTTTTACAGTAGATATAAAAACAGTTACAAGTTTTTACCCACTGTCCAACTGGTGGCTGAGCATTAAGTCATTTTTCTCTACCATTGTTCAACTGGTTGCTGGGTATTATGTCATTTTTCTCTATCACCGGTAAAATGGTGGTCAGAGCTCAAAGGGTTAACAATCAGCTTTATGAGCTGCATAACAAAACTAATAATTAGGATTCAAATGAACAGAACTCATAGCAGAATCAAACTGAAAATTGGTAAAAGACAACATGTTTTGAATATTTTTATGGTTAGAATGCTGTCCAAACAAACAAGTGAAATGCAAAAATATTTATACCTGTGTTTCATAAATTTTTCAAAGGCATTTGCAATGAACAACATGAATAAATTAAAATTTTAGTATAGCTTGATTTACACTAGTGGCTCCCAACCAATTTTGAGTCATGCCCCACTTTGGTATTTCTAAAATTCTCGTGTCCCCACCTTGTAATCTTTAATTCTTATATATTCAAAATTTTACTGTAATTCCCATGAAGGATGCTTAAAATGCCATTAACTTTGTCTCTAAACAAGCCTCCAAAAACAATGGCATCCATGAAAGGGAAAAATTAAAAAAACAAAAAGATAGTTAAATATATATAGTTTCAAAACATATAATAGTGAACTGAAAGGCAGAAATATAAAATATTTGAATGAATGCTTATTCTGTAATATACTTTGACCCTTTTAATCATGAAACAATAATGCAAAATGAAATTTGAGCTCACTAGAAAACAATTCACTGTTAATAACTCATTCTCAAATTGCTCCCTTATTCTTTTTGGTATAGTAAGCTAAAGGGTGCACATCCTACGCATGACCCAACAAAATATTACCATGCCCCACTGGTGGGGCATGTGCCCCATGTTGGGAATCATTGATTTACACAGAATGGTTATATGATATATTCCACAATCATCTTGTATATGAGTAGACAACAAATTCGGTGAGTGCACCAAAACAGACAGATAAGTATTGCAAGATGTATTTCATACTGGATTTATTTAACCTCTACAATGAGATGAACCAAAGAGAATTAAATAAGGATTTATTATCAGCACTGAAAAACTTCAAATAATCAGGATTCCTATATTTACTTTCTTTCATTTTATTGATTCAATTTCTAAGTAATTATTACATACGTGTATTTTGAAAAGCATTTTTCCATAGATGATAATGAAGCTTAGATTAGTTTTTTTTTGAGATATTTATTAAGTTGAGCTTAATACAGTATAAGGTGAAATGAAGGAGGAGAAAGAAGATTGAGTTGCACTAGTCTTCCAGACAAGACTAACCTGCTTAAATAGAAAATTAATGGTTGGTCCTTATGCATATTCATCTCATCAAATCTGGCACTCATTGAAAAAGTTTGGACACCCTGGTGTATATAAAGGCATATAAGTCTGCATATGTAAGCTTATGCAGTTATGCAAATAGAAAAGTAAACAAATGGAATTATGCAATGATAAAGTAAATATGGTATGCTAATAAAAAGATTATGATCTCATGGATGTTTCAGATGATCATCCCTTATGGAAATGAAGGAATGATTATCATCCCTTATGGAGATGAAGTAGAGGTATAATATGAGGTGTTTTCTATTTTGGATTTGATTGAAAATAATTTAGGTTTCAAAAGAAAATCATTTCTGTACTATACATTTCTTTTTCACCTTGCTTTCAACAAGTTCAATTTCTTTTGTATAATATTAACTTTAAAATAGAGAGAGCTGAGTGATGTTTCTCTGTATAAACAACATTAACACCTACAGTGATTGCAGTTTCACTTAGATTAAAATAAAACATGAAACAAAAACTACTATATTTTTCCTGAACTACAACAAACATACTTAAGAAGTAAAAAGACCACTGCTTTTACACACACACACACACACACACACACATATATATATATATATATATATATATATATATATATATATATATAAGAAATATAGTTTTAAGGTGTGTTATATTTATAGGATAAAGTGCTCAATATCAGAGATAGAGCGTATGTAAATATAAAAGTGAACATTGAAGTCAACAGTTGCAAAAAATTGGAGTAATGAAAACTTGAGAATCCAAAATTTCAGGATTCTTTGTCTGTATCCAGACTGAAAAGTTTTTAATTTGCTAAAAGAGTCAGCCTAATTCCAAAATGGTATGATATGCTGAGCCATGGCCTCTAGTTGTAAAGTTAAAAACACAAACAATTTTACTTTGAAACAATGTAATTTGAGAACAGTAATTTTTCATTTGAACATAAGCTATTGAAAATTAGAGTTGTGTCCCTTTAATTGTTTTTATCAATAGAAGCCAAGATGGTGGAATCTGAAAACAATCACAGTAATAAAAATTTTGGAATCTAAAATTTCAGGATCTCGGGTCTGGATCCAGCCTGGAATGTTTTTAATTTTCTCACAAAGTTGGCCTGATTCCAAAATGGTATGATATGTTGGGCTACAGCCTCTAGGAGTAAAGTTGGAAAAGTGTGACACACTGACATTCACATTTGTTATATATATATATATGTAAGCAAATGTAAATGGATATAAATCCGACAGAATGAAGAAAAATTTTGGAAAAAACAAACAAAAATCCTTAAATGCAATTATGTTGTTTAAAATGAATGAAATGTCGACGTCTGACGTTTCGGTTTAATAAACCTTTTTCAAAACAATATTCATTACAATTCAGTTCAATTTAACAAAGACGATGGACATAAAAAACAAGTCTTATCCAAAACAGATAACTGAAAATTTTTAAAATGATCAGCTTTCCGTTTAACATGGTCACGTTGTCGTCACATTGGCGACGCTTTCAAAACGTATTCCTAAAAA